TAGGATTACAGGCGTGAGCCACAGTGCCCGGCCTAGGGTTTTCTTTTAATCACAAGCGTTAGTTAACTTGGAAACCACTGCTCCCTAGAATTGAAGCTGTCAACAAATAACTCCATTGGAATAGATGCTGCTGGTTCCTGCCCACATCCCCTTTCCCAGGCTAGGTACCCACACTCTAGCTGCTGTGAGTGTTGAAAGCTAGGAGGTCACAGCTACCCCCTTCTCTGGAGAAGCACCCTTAGTGGAATGCGGGCTTGGTTTGGGAGATTATAGTCCACATGCCTATAATCTACATGCCTATCCACATGCCTATAATAATGGCTGTGCCCAGCAGCCTGCAGCCCATGACAAGCTGACATGGAGGTACTCGAGGCTGGGCCACTTGCTTCAAAAGGGGACCAACCGGTGGTGCAATTCATGCTCCATAGCTCCCCCCAGGGCCAGGTGAAACAAGAATCCAGCTGAGCTACAACCCTGCTTAACTCCTTCCACAAACCCATCCTGTCTCCAATCTCCTTTCTCCCTCAGTAAACCGCAGACATCCGAATAGGGTCTGATTTTACAGAATCTGACCCAAGACATCCAGCCAGTCCTCAAATGCCTATGCAATGCCAAACTTGAGTGAAACAGTAGCCCTGAGCTCCTAAGCCCCCAGAATCTCTGAGATCAAACTCCTTGGAGCCCCAAGTTCTTTTAAGTCTTCACCTCCAAGGTATCAGACCCTTGAGGCCCTCTGGGCTCTGCAGAGGTCATAAGGGGATGAGGGGCAGGGATGCTATTGTGGTCTCAGCAGAGGAGCTCCTTGAGCCGCATCTAGGGGCAGGTTTTGCCAGAGGGTTTGGAGTCAGAGCCAGCAGCACACAAGGAAATATAAGGAAATGTTCTGGGTGGGCCACAGTGTTTGGAGGACCTGGTTGGGGCAGTGGGTGGTTAGTGGCAGGGCTGAGCACAGAGGAGACAAGCTTAGGCTGGAGGCAGCCAGGGCCCCCTGGAGGGAGGACTGAGGCAGCTGAGACCACAGGTATGGACTGCCTGGGAACCACATGTTAGAAAGCTACCAACTGCTTGGGTCTCCATCAAATCCAAAAGCCACATGGGCTACGCCTTTCTGGAAGTCCCAGCTGCTGGTGTCTAGAACCTGAGAAGCCTGCTGGCAGAAACTAACTTCTCAACCAAGTAGCAGACGGTTGAAGTCACAGTATGTTCTTAATTATTTGCTGTAACAGCAGCTAGAGTCAACACACGAGGAAGAGAAAAGCCAGTGTCACGCACAAAGCCCTTTAGCTACCTCAAGGGAAAGGAGCTGGATACTCTCCTTAATCAGCACATAGGTGAAAGAGAAAGAATGAAGAGTTCTTGGCCACAAACCATATAATATGTCCTGTTCTAAGTGATGTACTTACGGGGAACTCCACGAGGCAACTCCATGTGATAATTAGTACCTACTTTTTCATATGAGCAAATTAAGGCTCAGAAAAGTCAAAAAAATTGTTCAGCCTCCTCTTCCGGTTCTTTCTATCATTTACATGAGTTCAAATCTCTTAAAAATAAATCTTAAAAATAACAAAAACAAGCAAACAAAACAAACCCTGTACCTCTTTGGACCCCTGATCTTCTTCCAGCTGTACCCTTTGTGTCTTTCCAATTCCTCTTCATGAACAGCAGAAATTCGAGAATGAGCTGCCTGCCCTCAGCCCTCTTCCTCACCCCACCCTCTTCCTGCACGCACTGTGGGGTGTCCTTGGTGCATCACCCACTCCCCAGGTTCACACTGAAAATACAAGGCCGCCAGAACACCCTTCAGACTGTGAAGCCAATGCATACTTTTTAGCTTCCATTTCCTTGAGTTCTGCAGCCCTTGAGTTCATGGAACACTTCTTCCATCTGGAAACACACTTCCTTTAAAATGTCACCTTCTGCAACACCTCGCTTTCCAGCTTTCCCTTCTACCTAGTCAAACTGCTGCTTCTGTGTCTTTTGAGGCACCCAGTACGCCAGAGTTTCCTTTAGGGTTGGAGCAATGTTTTATGTAACCTTATAAATGCAGCACCTAGGATCCTACCAAATGATGGGATGAGGATGAATGGATGAACAGTCAACGAGCTAGTGCAAGGAGGAGTAACTATCCAAACCCAGATGGGTCCAACTCAAAGAGCCTTGTTTGACCCACTCCCCTAAGATGACTTTTCTCCAATATGAAGCAATTTCCTAATGAAAAAAGTTGATGTTTGTTGGAAAAAAATAAATGCAAAATGGAGTGAAATATCTGGTGAAGATATTCTTGTAACACACACACACAGATTTCTTATACTGACACAGATAATTTAAATATTAAATCCACATAGTAATGAAAACTGTAATAGTCTATATATCCAGCCAAGCTTAGAAACCAGAATTCCTGCCCAGCAGCTGAAAGCTCTAACAACTCCGCATTGCAGTGAGCAAATAAACACCATTTCAGACCCACAAAAAATACATTTAGTTCTCATTCTACTGGGGCCAGTAAACAACACATTTGGCTGGCGGGTGTGGTTCCTGAGAGGCTGCAACTTCAGCCTGTCATCAGAGTATTAATGACCTCACGGTGAGTGCAGGTCTGCTGCAAAGCGACACATTCAACAAATAGGAGGCCCAGTCCTTTCACCTGATTTTCTTAGGCAGGTGAATGATCAGAATTGGCAAGTAGCCTCTGCCTGGCACAAAGCAACAGCAACAGAGGAAAGATGAGGAAAGTTCTAGAAGATTGCTTAAACTGTGCTTCTAACACTTGTCCCAGTCTGTAACTTTTTATTACTAGTATACAACAAGGCAAGTAAGATACACTGAGAGCAAAGATTTTGGAAGCCTTTGTAACAATTTGACAGGAGAATGGGGAATTTTACATCTATTTAACAAAAATTGTGTTTATATTTGGAATCTACTTTATTTTTACATTAATTTTTATTTTATAAAAGCATTGTTTTATTGTGTTTTGCCAAAGTGTCAGTCTGCCAATGACTACAAAAAATTTGTAATAGCCCATATAGTTTGAAAAATAGTGAAATAGACAACAACAACAAAAACTATTCATTAAAAGACACTCTAAGAATAAAACAATAAGCCACAGAATGGGAGGAAATATTTGCAACACATTAATTATGGACATTTCATGCACAAAATTCTATAATATGTAAATAATCCATTAAAGTCAGTCAGGAAAAAAGGGCAAAATACTGGAACAGGCATTTTACATGAGGAAATTCTAATGCCTGATTAGCATGTGATAAGTGCTGAACCTCACTATTATCAGAGAAATAAATATTACGACTACAAGTCACAACAGCATAGTCACCAGAATGGCAATCTGAAAGGTTGGTTAAGATGCTGAACGACAAGCACTCTCATACACAGCTGACGGGAGAGCAGACTGGTCACATACTTTAGAAAACTCTTTGGCAGCATTCACGAAAGCTGAACACACACACACCCCATGGGCAGCAATTCCACTCCTAGAAACCAATGGAACTGTGTTCACGTGAGAACCAAGTGACATAGATGAGAACAATCATGGCAGCACAGTTTGTGACAGACACAAAATGAGAACAAGCCAAATGTCTGCAGACAGCGGATTAGATAAATAAATAGTGGTGTGTTCACACCATCGATAGTAAATAACAGTTTGTAAGTAACGAACCACAGCTTCAGGCAACAACGTGGATGGAGCTGGCAGATGTGACAGTGCCCTAGGTCTCATCATAGTTCCCTCATGGGATCTGCAGGATGTTCCAGGGACAAACTGTCCTATAAAGCCACTGACACCATGGTGCTGGAGTTATTTCCCTCTATAGAATCAGCCTCCACTTGGTACCCAGATGTTATGAGGAATTAGGGAGAGGGTTCCTTGAAAGAGGCTTGGGGTTAAGAGGAGCCCTGAGAGGTCAGGAACAATTCAGGGTCTGGCATGAGGTCCAAAGTGCTGTAGTCATAAGCCCAGGTCAGCTATGGGGCTGCCCAAATCCTCTGATGGGTGCTGTGCCCCTGTTGGGGTGGGGAGACCAGGCCTGGCTATAGCTGGAGACAGTGATTCTCACTGCTGAGAAAATTCCCCAAGGGCTGGGTAGAGGGGGGACTACGGAAACCTGGGACCCTTAGGAATATGATGTTCATGGAATGGGGACATCTGGGGAAATCAGATCAGGTTTTGGGAACTCAATGTCCGCCAGGACTCTTTTTAGTCTCAACTAAATATTCAGACTTGTATGATACCACAGGACATACCTGGCACTCAGAAGACTCCAGGCCAGGGAATAGAGCAAGGCAGCTGGGCAGCAGTGGGCAATTCCCATCAGTGGGTGCAGGCAGCCCTTGCAGCAGCCTACACGGCTGTCCTGGAGGTGGTGGCCTCCTTGCTCCACCCCCACGACTGCTCAGGTGCAAGGGAACATGTGTGGGTGTGGATCTAAGGTGTTTAGTAGCCCCATGCCCCACAAGAGCCCGTATCTCTCGTTACAACCCACAGAACAGTTCTCAGGGTCCCTGCAGAGGTCACCCCTAGACAAAAGAATCACCCCCCTCGGGGCAGCCCAGAGCTGGGCTCCCTATCACGTGTCTGTTAGTCTTCCCAGCCCAGTTTACCAACCAGGGTCATTTTTTTTTTTTTTTACCAGAAGCAATGCTGCTTGGTGCCACAGCAGACATTTCATCTTGACCAGGTCTCCAGGGAAACATGCTAGAAAGCTAACCCAACGTCAACTCTGTGCTTAGAGAAGAAGGGGGATCTGTTAGCTCTGCACTCCCAGCAGAGAAGACGAAGAGCTCAGCCGTGAACGAGCTGCATCTGCCATGCTGCGGGAACCCCCCAAGCGGAGACGCTGCCTGGTCCAGAGCTCGGCGGGAGAGGCCTGACAGCCCCTTTTCAAAGGCACCTTGGTGAAGAAAGCCCACCACATGCAGCTGGCAGAAGGAGAGCCCCTGCCAGCTCTGCGTGGGCACGTGGCGGTGGCCCAGCCCGGGGCGCTTACCTCTCCCGCAGGCCTGCACCAGCCCGTACCACTCCCCACAGCTGTTACAGAGCAGGGTGAAGGCGGTCTCCCGATGGCCCGTGATGTGGCCGGGGGCACACACGTACAGCACCTCGTCCCCCATCTCCAAGCCGGTGCGGCCCTGCAGGATGGTGTGGGGGAACGAAGGCGGGTCTCCGCATGGCTTCTCTGAGGAGAAGGAATCACAGTCAGCTCTTCCGAACTGTGCGAGACTTCATCAGCCTGTGAGGAAACAAGCTTAAGAACAGCTCTCCCCTGCCGCCCGCTGCTGCAGGTGCTGCCCTCACCTTGAACTGGGGTCACGGGGGCTGTTTCCTGGTCACTCTGGCAACCCCAGGCAGGCCCTGGCAGAACGCCTGGCACAGATGAGGCACTGAAAAAGTCTCACTGAATGGATAAATGTGGCACAAAGTGCTACAACTTCGTATTCTAAAATTGTCAGACAATGTTCCCTTCTAATGTCTCCTTTTTTTTTTTTTTTTTTTCTTTTGAGACAGAGTCTCACTTTGTTGCCCGGGCTAGAGTGTCGTGGTGTCAGCTTAGCTCACAGCAACCTCAGACACCTGGGCTTAAGTGATCTACTGCCTCAGCCTCCTGAGCAGCTGGGACTACAGGCATGCGCCACCATGCCCGGCTAATTTTTTCTATATATATTTTTAAATGGCCAATTAATTTCTTTCTATTTTTAGTAGAGACGGGGTCTCGCTCTTGCTCAGGCTGGTTTCAAACTCCTGACCTTGAGCGATCCGCCTGCCTCAGCCTCCCAGAATGCTAGGATTACAGGTGTAAGCCACTGCGCCCGGCCCCGTCTAATGTCTCCTTGAAAGGAGCATCCAGAGATAAAGCCCTAGCATCAAGCTCCTTTCTGCCTTATTTAGATAAGCAAGCAGCTACTCTCTGCCAAGAGACAGATGTTACAGGCTACAGAGTACAGCAGAGGGTGCCTCTCCCCTGCCCCAACACCAATCCCAATGGCAAGACCACTACCAAACACACACACCCATATCTTTTTACATATATGTATATAAGTACATATATATTTCTGTGTGTTTTTTAACATAAATGAGATTACTTCATCTGTATTGCTGAATACCTTATATTTTTAAAAATTAATAAACTATTTTTAGATTCACAGAAAAATTGAACAGAAAGTACAGAATGTTCCCATCAACTTCCTAACCCCACTCACACACAATCTCCCTCACTATCAACATTCTGTACCAGACTGGTACATTTATTACAATAGATGAAACTACAGTGACTCCTTGTTGTCACCCAAAGTCTACAGTTAACCTTAAGGTTCACTCTTGGTGTTGTACATTCTATCGGTTTTGACAAATGTGTAAGGACCTATATCCACCATTGTAGTATCATTCAGAACAGTTTCACCACCCCAAAAGTCTTCTGTGTTCTGTTTATTTACCTCTTTCTTCCCCTAATGACTGAACACAGATCCTTTTACTGTCTCCATAGTTTTGCCTTTTCCAGAATGTCATATTGTTGGAATCATATGGTATGTAGCCTTTTCAGATTGGCTTCTTTGATTTGGTAATATGCAATTAAAGTTCCACCATGTCTTTTTATTACTTTTTTTTTGAGATGAGAAAGTCAGTTAACTATATTTATGTGGGTCTATTTCTGGGCTCTCTATTCTGTTCACTTGGTATTTGTCATTCTTTCACCATTGTCTTGATTACTATAGTTTTACAAAAGTTTTGAAGTCTAAAAGGGTCAGTTCTCTGACTTTGTTCTTCTTCAATATTGAGTTGGCTATTCTGGGTCTTTTGCCTCTGTCTATCAACTATAGAACCAGTTAGTTGATATCTACCAAATAACTTTCTATGGCTTTGATTGGGACTATGTTGTATCTGTAGATCAAGTTAGGAAAATCTGACATCTTGACAATACTGAGTCTTCCTATCCATGAACATGGAACATCTCTCCATTTAGTTAGTCTTTGATATCATTCATCAGAGTTTTGTAGTTTTCTTCATATAGATCTAGTACATGTTTTGTAGATTTATACCTAATAACTTCATTTCTCAGGATGCTAATATGTTTTTAATTTAAAATGTCACTAATTCATTACTAGCATGTAGGAAAGTGATTAACTTTTGTATGTTTATCTTATATCCTGCAACCTTACTATAATCACTTATTTAGTTCCAGGAGTTTTTTGTTGTTGTTGTTGATTCTTCCAGATTTTCTACATAGAAAATCATGTGATCTGCAGACAAAGACAATTTGAGCCAAGGCCAAACAGAGAGGAGCCTGTGGACAGCCAGACACCCATGACCATGAGAGTCAGGTGACTTTACACAGAGTGAACTGCAAAGCAAACCAACCAGAATAAAGGCAGCTGTTGGCTCTTCTCCTTATGGATAGGGCTCTGACAAAGCTTCCCAATTAACTGAAATAAAAAATATTTTTTTCTTTCAGTATATAAAAAAGACAGGGTTAGTTCTTCTTTCCCAATTTATATGCCTTTTATTTCCTTTTCTCATCTTACCGTATTACCTAGGGCTTCTAGCATGATGTTGAAAAGCAGTGGTGGGAGGAAACATCCTTGCCTTGTTCCTGATCTTAGTTAGAAAGCTTCAAGTTTCTCACCATTAATCATGATGTTAGCTGTAGGTTTTGTTCTGTTTTTTTTTTTTTTTTTTTTGAGACGGTCTCGCTTTGTTGTCCAGGCTAGTACAACAATCTTCTGGCCTCCAACAGATCCTTCGGCCTTGGCTTCCAAAGTGCTCAAAGGTGTGAGCTACCATGCCCACCCTGGCCTGTACATGTTCTTATCAAGTTGATGAAGTTCCCCTCTATTTCTAATTTGTTAAGAGGTTTTGTTGTTGTTTTGCTTTATTTTATCATGAATGGGTATTGGATTTTGTCAGATGCTTTTTATGCATCTATCCAATACAATTATGTGATTTTCTTCCATAGCTTCTTGATGTGACGAATTATATTAACTGAATTTGAATGTCGAACCAGCCTTGCACACCTGAGGTAAATCTTACTTGTTTGTGGTACACCATTTTTTTAATACATTGTGGGTTTGAATAGCTAATATTTTGCTGAAGACTTTTGCATACATGTTCTGAGATATATTGTCTAAGTCCT